AAAATAATAAAAAATTATTTATAATAAAAGTTATAAAAGGTTTAAAATATAATTAAAATTATTAATAATTTTTTAAAGTTTTAAAATCTTTAATTCTTTTTTTTTTTAAAAAAAAAAATCTTAACTTATTTATAAATAATTTAAAATACGTATCTTTCGGTTTAACCAAATTTTTATCGATATATTAACTCCGTTTACATATAATTACATAGTTTTATAATATTTTTTATCTAATAAATCTTAAAATAATTATCTTATATTTTTTATTAATTATTTTCTTTAACCAATAATTTCTTGGCATTATTATCCGTATGACAAATATACCGTAAGCAGATTTTGCTTTATTTAGCTCCATCTTAAAGATGCTGTTTAGTATATCTTCGTACATGCCATAAATTTCTTCCAGTGGATTGTAGGCCTTTTCTTCTAGAGTATTAAAATGCCCTAATCTGACATACGAATGGGGGTTATTAGGGACACAAAAAGGATATAAGGGCGGTCAAACTGTAACACTATCTTTACCAGTAGAACACAGATGGCTGATTAAGACACTCGTTAATATAACCCGTTTCCTTTAGGTATTCGGTTAAAAGATAGCCAATGTCGTTCTATAATTTCGTTAGTGTTCCGGTACCTTAAGTAGTTTATCTACTGTTAGTTAGTCCATTATAAAACTACCTCCTAGTATACGAGCACTTGGCTGCCCAATAATTCTTGCTAGGTTAGGTTAGGTAGTCATCTCAAATTGAGCAGTTCCTAGGTTCATCTATATCTCCTAATTTTACAATTCTGATTCATGTAAGCTTGATCATAGTCTTCTCTTAGATAAGGATTACTAGGTAACTAGATTAGGTACCTAAGTCAGATGATTCTTAATTTCCCTCAAATTTCTACGCCCTTGGCACTTAACAGCTTTACCCTACGTCAAAATAACATTTTCTGACAGGCTAGGAAATTTTATAATAAATGTTGAAACTGCGCCCAGGGTTAGTAGAGCCGGGGAACCGTTACATTGCATGTGAATGTATGGGTCTACGTCTTAAATTGTCAATATCGGTACCGGGTTAGCTTACACTACGAGGAAATCCATATGCCCAACTAATTATCTCGTTACAACATCATTCTACCGCGCCACGGTTGCTATTTTAATGTCTAGAACTTCTAGCTTGTTCCTTTTGTCGGGCCCAAAAGGTCACTTTGAAAACAACCGATATCGTATGCTAGAAGACTATAAGAGCGTATTCACGCTTATGGATGCACATATTTCAGGGTCCTCTTATGCCGAAATACGCTGCGGACTCCACTATGGCCTAGCCCTGTCTGATATTGCTATTCCGTAGACGTCCAGTGCTAGGATCGATCGCCCTCGGGAAATTCCATCGAAAGTACATATCCTTGCTTGGCGATGATACCCTACGGTATTGAAACATGGGTAAGGTCTTGGTCCCTTGATTAGACCAGCCATACCTCGAGCCATCCTTCTCGTCGAGAAAGGTCAAGAATCCGATGATCTACGGCATGGGGCTGGGACAAATCCCGGATTGGATGAGAGCAGACCACGTCTCAAACCATATGCCGCGTATGCATATGAACGAACTCCTCCTAGTTCGAGACATATACGAACCTCGAACTCTTCAACTGTTGTCTGGACCTACCCTGGCAGCCCTAGCGAAGACGTGCCGGCGCGGCAGAGTTGTCTTCTATCCGCATATCCTTTATATCCCTGCTCATTGACTCCCGAAAGGGAATACCCTGGGAAAGGGGACTTTACAATCGGATGGGCTTACTAAGGAAACCGAGTTACCGAGTGGTAAGAAGAATGATCCATGCTCTCTTCTTAATTGTGGTCTATTCCCTAAAATAATATTTCCAACTTTCCTATTCCAAGGTTCATATTGAATAATTACCTCATAGGGTTATATATAGCTCACCGCTCCAGTCGAGTGTCCGTATCAACTGGTTCATACCTAACCGAGATGACACCACGTCCGTCGGCAGCAGCCGAAGTCGATAAACGGACCGCCGAAAGCACTTCACCCGAACCCGTTCCGACTACAACCGGCCCGTTATCGTCAAGCCCTTCGGCTACGGACACCGACTCATATTGGACATTTTCACAGGCACGACACCCATCTAAGACTTCAGGAATCCCATTGTCACTATGTCGGCCAAGAACTTATTAACTCCCGAACTCCAGGAAGACGAGTATGAAGATGATAAAGATTCGTCGCTGGGCGAGGACGAGTAAGTAAACAGCTAAGGCCCTAGGCGACGTTAAAGGCATACCCTTACTTAAAACTGTAAAATAGCTCGAGTTCGACTGCTTCGCTATCAAGCAGCATCTTAGAGTACCGCACGATCCACGGGCGAAGGTATCACAGCAAAAGTTGGGGAGATACCGACTATTGGTATGACCGTTCCTCATTGTGTAACAATACCATAACTTTATATTAACCAACCTAGGACGCCTAACGATGAAATACAAGCAAATTCCATGGACCTTACGTTAGTAGTATCCATCTGGGTCATAAGATACAAGAACCTAGTACTTACGTCTGAACAGCCATCACACGCTCACACTACTACTACACGACAGGATATTCCTAGCCCCCATCGGCGACGACCCTAGGAAAGTCCTAGAAGTCGGATGTGGAACAGGTAAGCCTCTCTACCTTCCCCCCCACAGCTACTATACTAACAAACGGTTGACCCGGTACAGGAATCTGGGCAATGTAAATTCCACCCTTGCCTCTCAACCTACTCACCTTTCTCTTATACTCTTCTTTTCTCCCCTCTCCCCTCCCCCTCTTAACACCATCCAGATTCTAACCCCACCCATCCAGCGACTTCGCAGACGCCTTCCCGCACTGCGAAGTAATCGGCACCGACATATCACCAACCCAACCATCCTGGGTCCCGGGCAACCTGCGTTTCGAAATGGACGACTTCAACCTAACCCCATGGACCTTCCAGCCCGCCTCCTTCGACTTCGTACACATGCGGTATCTCTGCGGGGCAGTCCGAAACTGGGACGCGGTATACGCCGAAGCCTTCCGGGCAGTGCGCCCCGGCACAGGCTGGGTCGAAACCCTAGAACCCGCTCTGCGCATCCGCAGCGACGACGGCAGTGTCTGTGAAGGCGACGGGTCGGCGCTCGCGGCCTGGGGCCCGTTATTCGAGGAGGGCGCTAGGCGGTACGAGAACAGGAACAGGGTCCCGGGGAGTGCGAACTCGGGGCCCTCGAGGCCGATGAATTTCGTCGAAGACGGGACGATGGAGGGCGCGTTCCGGCGCGCGGGGTTCGTCGATATCGTTACGCATACGATCAAGTGTCCGCTTACGCCGAATTCGAATGATCCGCATCTGAGAGAGGTAGGGTTGTATGCGCATGCCACGATGGAGGAGGGCATGGAGGGTATGCGTTCCCTATTTTCCATGTTCAGAATCCTTATACATGTGTATAAGTATAGACACTGACGAAGAATTACCCATTCTATAGGTTTTCTACTTTATCTCTTCACGCAAGGTTTGGGCTGGACCCACGAGCAAGTCATCCTCTATCTAAGCCGCGTACGCAAGGAGCTGCGCGACAGGCGGAAATCGCCATATTCACTAGTCAAGGTCATATACGGCCGGAGGCCCGAGGGTAGTTAATTGATCATTTTCAACTTGAAGATAATATAGGAAAGGAATATGGGCGTATGCATGATATACCTCGGGTTATTCGATGGTAATACAATCCCCTTTGTCCAGCATCTAGCATAGCGTATTTATAAAGACAGATGTATAGTAGAGGCGCCCAGCATATTTAGACGCGGTATGTATAATATAAATCGCAAGGAAATGCGTTCCGTTACATAAAAATCGGAGCAATCTAGCTACGATCTGCACATTATACGGCGAAGTCCTGCTGCAGAATAGTCATAATCCAGTCTTCTCATTTTAATACATCTAGTTAGTACAAAACTATATCACTTTCCTCCCAATTTCAGCGATTAGTCCTCTAGCAAGGTCAGCTCAGCAATGCACTTAATATCCATCAATCCACCCCTTCCATGCCTAAATTATATGCCGTTCGTGTTCATGATGCGTACATACTTTACCCCATGTCATATGGAGTTACTGTGTCGCTCTAGACTAATTATATCCCGGTTTGCTGTCGATCCCAAAAGGGGTCAACGCGTCTGATCACCGAACCCATAAAAAACGCGTATTCCCCAGATGCCCAAGCTCCAAAAACCCCATGATTCTCGTACCAAGAAAATTACCGAACACGGCTTAGTGGCCAACCTATAGCAACAACGTGCCGCCGAGGGTGAAGAGACCAACAATGCCAGTAAGGACGAAAATACTCATATCCATTGGAGGAGCTAGTTGGCCAGCGGCGTTGCCGTTATCACCGGATGCAGTTGCAGTTACAGATCCAGCACCAGGTGAAGCGGTCCCAGTCGAAGTACCTTCGGCATCCTGAGAGCCAGAGCCTTTGAGGCCTGGTCCCTTACCAGCTTTCTCGGTCATGTACTAGAGTATTGTTAGCCCCTTTTTCGATCCAGTGAAAATTGAGGTGAGATGTATACCTTCTCAGCTCCCGGGGGAATTGCGGGAAGTGCACTTGCGTCCCATCCACCAAGATCCCAAACTTTATCGACCGTTGGACACGCAGCAGAAGTGGTGGTGGAAGTGAAACCACCATCGCCAGTCGGAGCTGGATACTTGGACAAAGCTGACGCTAGCTTGTCGAAGTCGGGTTCTTCCTTGACTGAGTCGGACTTTCCAGAGACCTCAACAATGCCGAACCCATTGCCTTCTCTGCTATACTCGTACACGAGACCACCCGAGTAGACAGCAGACATCTGATCGCTCATCAATGCATCTAACTCCCCGAAGTCGCGGTCGCCTTTTATGCAACCCCACTCCGACAGGAAGATAGGCAGACCATATCCGGTGAAGTTCTTCACCTTCTGGTCCCAACCAGATTGCTGGAAGGAGGACGGAGCACACCAAGAATAGTCGTTCTTAGACGGGTTGTTAGTTTCTGATGTCTCGGTTGGCATTAGAAGAGACTTACAAAAGCGAAAAAGTCGCTTCGCTCGTCATCGGTACCGCAATTGAAATACTGCGCAGTCTGCATTCGGTTGTCGCTGACATCGGCAGCCGAGTAACCAACAGGAATCTTGCGGTAGCCGTGAGAGCCGATATACTGCCTCATATCACGAGTAGTAGCCTTAACGTAAGGAGCCGATTTTACGGAATCGGGTTTGTCGTTGATGACTTCATTGCCCGAGAAGAAAGCAAGCGTGTTGTCATATTTTGCGAACTCGTCAATGGTAGCAAAAACACTTTGGAGATAAACATCGTTATACGACTGCCCTGGCTTGTCTCGGTTTATAGAGTATTGAGGGTTGTTGACGTCGAGCACTAGGTAAATCTTTGCGTCGCTCAAAGCTTGCATACACTCATCGTGGTCGGCCGAATTGTCGACGGAGTAAACACGAACTGTGTTCACACCAAGTTCCTTGAACTTAGCGATATCCCTCTTGCAAAGGTCGGTATCAGAAAGAGGATCGATATTAGCGGAAGAACCACCAGGCTGGTAGTCGATACCTCGAATATAGAATCGTTCGTCACCGGCCCAGAAAGCTGTTATCCGTCATTAGTCTCCGGCCATTGCCTGCAAAGCGGATGTGGGTATCATACCATTCCCAGACGCGGTTACCGTAGGCAGAGAATCAGCACGCCTAGGTAACTCCTCTTCAGTGGGAGTAGGCCCTGCGTGAACCATGCTCGCCGCTGCCAGAGCGGACGCGAAGGCGAACGAGCGCATTATGATATCGTTATTGTTCCAGGTGGTCAATTGCTTTTGGTTTAGTCTTGATAGGGTGTTCCGTCAAAAAAAAAAAAGATGAAAACACGTGGTATATCGCAATCCCAAGCGAGTGAGGGACGTTTAAGAACCAGCAGCAGATCCAAGATCAGGGGCGTGAACTATCAAAACGATTGAATTGGAAGACGAGATGCCAACAATAACGAATGAGTTGCCAGAAAGAAAGGGGATGGAGTCAGGAAGTTAAACAACAAGTGAAGGGAGAAAAACTGCGGATGTGGAATGAGAAAAGGAGAGTGGAACGAGGTAAGAAGTCGTTTCCTTGGCTTGGAGATATTTACGCCGCCCAGAAGTCAAGAACCAAGGAAAGGGGGAGTGTAGCAAAAGCAGGCGTGAGCCACCTTGGCTACATAACAGGGAAAGAGGGTGTTATGGTGGACCATTAGTGCAATTGTGCCAAAATCAAAAAAGTTGGTTGGGGCCTTTTAAAAAGGGTAATAATAGCATAATTACGCACCAGCCATATATTTTATAAATTATATATTAATATTTATATATTATATAAATATTTAATTAATTATAGATAAATATAATTGAGGGGTATATTTAAAACATTAAGTTATATTATATATATTAATTGTTTTTATTTATATTTTTTTTTTTTTTTTTATATAATATTTTTATTAAAATAAAAAGAAAACTTATTAATTTTAAACCGTATAAGCGTTAAATTACCGTTTAATTTTACAAAAACTTTATTATTAAATAAATTTTAAATAAATTTAAATGAAAATATTAATAAAAATTATTATGTAAAACGTTAAATTGTATAATAAAAAATTAAAGATTATAAAAGTAATATTATATATAAAAAAATAAATTTATATTAAAAAATTTAAAAAAAAATATTTTTTTATTATTTTATTAATTTAATTTATTTGATTAAAATATATATAATTAATTAAATAATAAAGGGTATAATATTATTTAATAATAGTTTTAATAGATTTGATAAAATTTTAGTTTAAAATGTTGTTTAAAAATAATAACTAAAAAATAAAAAAAAATAAATGTTATAAAAGTTGTTTTAAAAGAAAAGTTTTTTAAATTTAATTGGTTAAGTAAATTAAAACGATAATATATATATAATGGTGTAAAAGATAAAAATGGAAATTATTTTTTTGGTTTATATAAATATTATTATTATTTTTATTTTATTTTAATATTATATAAAAATATATTATATAAAATTTATAAGGAATTTTTTTTTATTGTAATTTATTATTATACGTAATATATTTAAAGGTAAAAAAGAAAGTTTATTATATATAAATTTAATTAAGTTTAAAATATTAACGGTTATAATAAATTTAAATGTTAAGAATTTTATATATATGGTATAATTAATAGTTATTTAAGATTTATTATTTAATATTAAGTTTTTTGGTTTAAAAATATTGTTATTAATATTTTAAAATAATATTTGCGTATTATGCAAAAGTTAAAATATGTATTTTATATAATTTGTGTAAATAAAGGTAAAAAATTATTTTTATTATTAAGTGTTTATTAAACTTTTTTATAAGAAAAATATTTAAATAAAAATGGAATTGTAATAATATTTAACAATTATTTTTATTATAATTAAAGTATAAATAATATTTGCATAAAATTTTAATGGTTATAATTTAAAATATTTTGTTTAATATGTTAAAAGGTAAATTTATATTTAAAAATTAAAATATAAATATTAATAATGTTATAAAGTTTATTTAAACGATTAAAATATTAAAGATTTTAAATTTTTAATAATTTTATTTTTTAAATTATTTTTTTAGTTATGTATATATTAGTTATAAAAAATAAAATTAATATTTTTATTATTAAGTAAAATTAATATAAAATTTACTTATAATAAAATTATAAAAATATTATATAAGGTTGGTTTTAAGAAAATTTTTTTTTTTTAATCTTGATTTTGTTTTATAATAAAGATTTAATATTAATATAAAATTTTTAATTAAAATTAAAATTATTATTAAAAATAATAATATTAATTAATATTTTTTTAAAAATATTTTTAAATGGTGTAAAAATTATCTTATAAAAATTAGTTTAGATTATATAAAAAAAGATAATCATATTTAGTTATTTATTAAAATTTATAATAAATTTTAAATAATAATTTAAATAGAATTTAATAATAAAAATTTTTATGGTTTAAATTTAATATTATTTTTTTTATAAAATGGTTTAATTAAATTAAAAAAAAAGTTGGAAAAGATTTAAAATTTTTTAATTAAAAATGAATTTAATTAAGTTATGTGAAAAATAAATTGGCGTAAAAAATAGGTTTATAAAAAAATAAATTTTTTGGAAATTATATTAAATATAAATATATATAAAGTTAATAAAGATAATGAAAATTATTTAGATTTTAAAAATTAACAACGTTTTTAAAAAAAATTGGATAATGAAAATAATGTAAAAAATAATATGGAAAATAATAATAAAAATGATAATAAAAATAATAATAAAATATAATATAAATAATATAATAAAAGTTATAATAGGATTTAATTATAATTATTAATTTAATTAATTTAATTAATATATAAAAATTGCGGGAATATTTTTTAAGTTATTTAATTAAATTTATTAAATTTGGTTAATTATTTTATTTATTTATTTATTTTTTATTATTTTTTAATATTTTAATAAAAATACGGTATTATTATATGATTGTAATATTATTAAATTGGTTTTTTTTAAATTGATTTAATTTATATAAGTAATTATTATTAAATATATTATTATGGTTAAAAAATATAAAATAAATATTATTATTTATAAATTAATTAATTTTATTTATAAATTATATGTTATTATTTATAAATTATATTTTTTTATTTATAAATTATTTTTATAATAATTTAATTATATACGGTTATATTTTAATAAAATTTATATTAATTAATTTGTTTTAATTATAAAATTTTAAATATATAAAAATATATTATTATATTTATTAATATTGTTAATAAATTTAAATTTTTTATAAAATTAATAAAGTAAAAAGTGATTATATTATTTTATTAGTAATTTTAATAATTAAATATATATATTTATTTTATGGGGTAATTTATATAAAAGGTTTGGTAAAATAATTTATAAATAGTATTATTTTATAAAAATTATTATTTATTTTTTATATAAATTATTTATTAATTTAAATTATTTATATAAATTATTAATTTATTTTATTAAAATAATGTATATTATTATAATTATTTTAAATTATTATTTTTTAAATTAAAGATAAGGTATAATTTTATTTATATAAAAAGAAATTTAAATAAAAGTTGTTTTTTTAAAAGTATTTTTAAAATTATTAAAATTACCATTGAAAATGTTAATAATATTGGTAGGTTTAAAAGTTGGTAATATTATTAGATTTTTTTTAATATTTTTAATTATAAAGTTTATATAATAAATTAATTAAAGAATAGGTAATTTTAATAGTTTAAAAGGTAATAAAAATAAATAACGATATAAAAATCTAATATATTTTAAGGTTAATGGTTATAACGGAAGTGTTGCACAAGGTAATAAACTTAAAATTACTTTAATAAAAATAAATAACTTTTTATTTTTATATATTAATTAAAAAGGTTAAAAAGGTTTAAGGTAATGATTAAAATTAATTAATATAAAAATAAATATTTTATGTTTTTTTCATTATTTTAAATTTATATAAAATGGCCTTCGTTTTAAAGCTTAAATTTAATGGGAAAAAAAAGTCTTTTTATTTTAATTTATATACTATTTTTATCTTTATCTTATAACTTAAGTTTAATAAAAAAGGAAAATCTTTTTATTTTAATGTTAAAAAAAAGTTATTTATTTTTAATAATTTTAAAAATTATTTAAATATTTTAATATATAATAAAAATCTTTTAATATTTTTTACTATTTTATAATTTAATTAGAAAAAAATTATTTTATATTATATAAATATTATTTACTTTTTACATTTTAATATTTAAATTAATAAAATTTTTATTAATAAAAATTTTATAAAAAGTAAAAAAATATTTTTTATCCAAATCTTTTTTACGTTTAAAATTTTAATTGGTAAGTTTTTTTTATTAATTATTAATATTAATAACTTATTTTAATTATATAATAATATTATAATTATAAAATATTTTTAAAAAATTAAAAATAAAAAAAGGTAAAAAAAAATTATTGTTTTTATTTAAAATTTATTTAATAAAGTATATATTAATATTAAAATAATATTATATATAAATTATAAAAAGATTTTTTTTTATTAATTTATTTTACATAATATTAAAATATCTTGTTACTTTTAAAAAAAAATTAATAATTAACCGTTTAACTATTTTAAATAAAATAAATATTTATATTATAAAAGTAAAAATATATTTATTTTTTAATATAAAAAGATAAGGAATAAAGTATTAATAAATAAAAATATTTTAATTAGTTAAAGTAAAATTATTAGAATTTTTATATAATTTAAAATTAAAAATCTTTTTAATTAACTTTTTTAAAAAAATAATAATAATATTATTATTATTATTAATAATAATAATAGTTTAATTTATAAATAAGGTTTAAAAATGTTTTATATAAAAAAGATTAATATTATAAAATTAATAAAATCTTATATTAATTTATAATATATTAATATAAAAAATACTATATATTTTTAAAAAAAGATAAATATTAATTATTTTATTAAAATAATAAATATATATATTGTTTATAATTAAAATAAAAAAGGAAAAAAAAAGGAAAGGAAATTATAACCAAAATTATAATAATATATTAACATTTTTTTCCTACCTTTCTTTTTTATTTTAAATATTTTTTTTAAAAATTTTAAATCTTTTAAACAGTTAAAGTAAAAAAAAAATAACAAATAAATTTTG